AGATTACTCATGCTGTATGAGTACAAGTTGAGCTCGAAACCCCAATGCCATTGCATCTGCTCACAGAATCAGCGAAGGTTGGGGCAGGCTCGGGTGCAGAGAGGACTACTCGAAAACCTTCGTTGGCTAAGTATCTTTCTGTCGATTCAGTTTGGTTTCACTAGAAAAATTTCGTGTGGACAGGAAACAGCGGATAATTTCCATTCAGCCTAATAAGTACTTCTATCCGTCCATAGAAGCAGTTAGAATAGTAGGCGGGCATGATCAAACTGGGCGGAGTTTGCGACAAAAATTCATAACTCGGTTCCAAGAAGTCTTGGAAACCAGGAGAAAAGAGGTAAGATCCGTCAATCAAAGAGAGGGCCAACTGCTACTGTGGGTGGAGCGTGCACCAAAGGGGGCGGCGTGGCGTCGCATGGCTGTCCTTCATCTAGTATTCTGCCGATCCTGTTAAGGATGACTCGAGTGAATAGCTTGTAGATTACAGACAGCAGGCAGATTGGGCGATAGTTGCCAATGTCGTCCAAGTCTCCCTTCTTGTACAGCAACACGGTCCTGCTGGTTTTCCACGGAGTGTGTACTCAGATAATGCTAGGGCATCAAGACAGGAGTGCTGCGGCCGAAATTCAAACTCCGGCGCTTGGCAGCATATGCAACCCCGCCCCAGAACTGTGATTGGTCTATTTGGGGTGGGGGCGGGACGAGGGCGGGTCGTCGGACATCTGCCTCGGACCTGCTGGGCTCCGTGAGAGCAGTAGCTACTGACCTCTCCTGCAGCTGGAAGCGTCTAACCAATAGGAGACGAGCCGCTCATCTCCAATTGGTTGGCTCCACCCTCCTGCCGTAGTGAGGTTGGCGGCACTACTGACAATTGTACGGAAGTCTGTCGTACTGCTGATAATCGTGCCGGGACCAATGAGGGTCCCTCCGCGATTTCTACCGCGGGACACTCGATTGGCGGGAACAATTAATTTGCTGTGACGTCACAGCTTTCGCAAGTACTGCCATGCGCTGCCTTACTGCTGCCTTGGTACTCTCGTCCCCATCACTGCCAGATGCCGCTGCCCGGCTGTCCTGCCAAAGAATGGTTAGCAGGAAATACGGCCAGAGGCTGTAGTGGCAGTGCCCCACAGCGGGCAATGGCTGGGTCCCGGAACGAATGCTACAGTATGCAGCATTTCGAAATGCACGTGACAGCCGGTATTGATCGCAGTCGGCTGAGCGCAGGGGCGCTTCTTCGTCACTCCCCCCCCTCCTTCATGGTTTTTTGTTTTTATTTTTATCATTGATGATTTTGCTGATTTCGGGTACTCTCATCATTCCCCCACAACTCTACGATTCGATGATTTTGCTGATTTCGGGTACTCTCATCCATCCCACAACTCTACGATTCGATGATTTTGCTGATTTCGGGTACTCTCATCCATCCCCCAGAGTTTGATGATTTGATGATTTTGCTGATTTCGGGTACTCTCATCCATCCCCCACAACTCTACGATTCGATGATTTTGCTGATTTCGGGTACTCTCATCCATCCCCCAGAGTTTGATGATTTGATGATTTTGCTGATTTCGGGTACTCTCATCCATCCCCCACTACTCTACGATTCGATGATTTTTTGCTGATTTCGGGTACTCTCATCCATCCCCCACAACTCTACGATTCGATGATTTTGCTGATTTCGGGTACTCTCATTCCATCCCCCACAACTCTACGATTCGATGATTTTGCTGATTTCGGGTACTCTCTTTCATCCCCCACAGTCCGATCATTTCGATCGATTTGATATTTTGCGAATTATGGATAATAGATACCAATATTCATTCTGACTTCTATGAACTAATATTCATTCTGACTTCCACAGGAGGGTTGTCAAACGTTTAACGTGAGTTTTTCCAACAAGTTTTATCATTATATAGAACACTGAGAAATCTCGTATGCTATTGCAGTAGCGTAATAGATTGCATAAGAGATTTCTCTTAATAAGAGATTTCTCTATATGCTCTCACAGTTGTGTGGTCCAGGCGGGTTCATCTCTACATGCTGTCACGGTCGTGTGGTTCAGTCGGGTTTATCGATATTGCCTTAGAATCTAACAACTTCTGCACTGGGCACATAATTAGCTTCCGCGTTTCTTTTTTTGAACCCGACTTCGATCTTTTATGCATTTCACGACCTGGCTTCCTGCTCGAAAACCTTAGGCCGAAGGTGGCCATATTACAGTCCGGTTAAGAGATTATTAGTATTTCGACTCCCTCCTAAGAAGTATTTCGACCTCCCTCCTAGACCATCAAATTGATCGCTCCATCATACATTTGGTAGACTTTTTCGGTTATGAGAAGGTATTGTTCGCTTGAGAGGACTTAATACTGAGTCTCAGGGCAATTAATCGAATTTGCTATGGATTTAATTCCCAATCACCGTGAAATTGAATCAGTATGCTGCATTGTCGAACTCGTTACTGGGCTGGCTGTCTCCCCATTTTTAACGTTCGCAACCTGAGATGAGCAGATGTTCTAGGAAGTATTTGAACCCCGTGAAAAGTTGGCCACACACCTCGGGACTCTTTCCACTCTGCTTAGCTTGAGAAAATCCTCATTTACTTGATATGACTCGTAACTCTTGTTCCACTCCTAAATACATTATTTTTTTAAAAGGCTGAGGCATGGTCTTATCAAGGGGGAGGCTTTCAATTTGAGTGCGTGATCTCGTTTTCATGCATTGAAAAATACGAAACTGTAGTCATGAACACTGTATTAGAAAGAATGAGCGCCTGTAAGGGTGGCATACCAGCGTCCCCAAAGGACTGAGTTCAAGTATGTAGAACCCAAAATTAACGTACGCTTACACCATGTTTGCAGCAGCACGGCAGCAGTTCGGCAATGCTAGCACGGGGTGTGCGGCAGGCAGTAGTGCTGCCATGAGAAGGTCACATCGAAATTAATTCTAAGTCCGGAAATGCTTTCAGTGTTTCGAGGTTTCTTGTCTAAACTGACGTTTGCACACTGCTATATCTGTCTCATTCATTCATAATCGATGTCTATTCCAACTCTTGTACACTTACGATTGCTGTTGAGTTGGTGCTTTGATCTATGAACAGAAGATAATGAAGAGTCATCGTTGAACCATGACATCGATCATGCCCCTCACTTTGTCTTAAATAGCCTTACTTCTTCTTCATCTTCGGCTCGTAAAGGATGATGGGGAAGCTGTCATTCCACGACGAAATTTTTCATTTTTGGGGAATAGATTGTAACACAGAATGTCGGGTCCTGTGGTGGATATACTGATAAGGAACGACAAGGCAGCTGCCCTCGAAGCGCTTCGGAATCTGTGGAGCTACCGACTGTTGGAGGTAGATGTCAGATTGGAGGGTAAATATTCCGCCTCGTATAAAGTTTTAGACGTCAAGCAATTTGTAGACGTTACATCTCGAAAGCTGCGATCTTACCGATCAAGACCTCGAATGCATCCATCCAGGCACCACTTGCGTCAGATATGTTTGCCTTCGTAATAACCAGCTGGTTCACCCTTGGCCGACCCTAGCGAAAATGTTCCCAGCTCTCGATTGCCTGGACTGCAGAGAGAACAGGTGCCCTTCTTGATGTTATTGTAACTTTTATCTCTTCTGCCTTAGCGGTCCTCTTCAGGTTGTTGACAATGGATCTGAATGCCATGAAAACATCACGGTTTGCTTGTATGGAGCACTTATTTTTGAGCCGGCCTGTGTCACTGTACGCATTTTGGAGACTATCACATTGAAATTGTTTACCTGAATCCAACAACGAAATCCTTGTTCAGGTGTGCGGCCGAGGTTCAGGAAGTATTCCCGAGGCTCACTAATATTTACTGTTCTCCTAACTTTCCCTTCATAACCGCTAACTCTGAGGGGAATGGGGATCGAGTCCGTCTATTTTCCACAGCAACTCTCCCAGAAAATGGCTTCGCACGATTGCCTAGCTTGTGTTTGGATGAATAAACATTTTTCAACTTCTGATTCGTTGCTGTATGGGTTCCGTGACCGCAATTATTCCATAGCCCAACTGTGATGTCAGTGACGTCTGTTAAAGAAATCACGATAGACTAGCTAGGTTAGGTATAGGTGTTTTTTATGGGCCGAAAGCGAACCTTTGACTCCGCTTCTTGTTCACGTGACGTCGACGAAGAGCTATCGCAGCCGTCAGTGAAGATGCCGAGACCGTTAAGAAGAAGTCAATCATTGAGAGCGAGGGGTGGTGAGCCTGTTATCATCTCCCGTAGAATCACTTGTCTAGCTGTGATCAATACTGACCTGATCCATAACGTCGATCATTCAGCAGGAGTGGTGGAATTAGCCTATCAGCTCGCTGAGCTCAATGCTGAACAAGCTCCGGATCAGGATACGGAAGTCGGCGAAGATCCTATGGTGGATGAATTAGAGAGACCCGGGGCTGAACACCCAGAAGAAGTTGAAGAAGCTGCTGACGAAGTCCAAGAAGAAAATGTGGTCGATGTCCAGGGCGAGGCAAGGATTCCTAATCCGCATCCGAGTGAGTGAAACACTTTTGCTGTGTACGTCAGCCTGTTATCATGGCATTTCTTAAAAGTATTAATGTTTTCAGCGTTCCAACAGGTCATCTATGGTGCCGGGTGCCGCTTTCAAATTGCATTTCGGGGTAAGCGAAAAAATGGCAAGTTTTTTGGACGATTGTTTGGCTTTTCTTGGTGCACCAGTTCCTGAGCCGGTCAGTCAACTTTCTTTTTGTTGCTTTCAGGGTTTTAGGGAAAACCAGCAGAACCGTGTTGCTGTACAAGAAGGGAGACTTGGACGACATTGGCAACTATCGCCCAATCTGCCTGCTGTCTGTAATCTACAAGCTATTCACTCGAGTCATCCTTAACAGGATCGGCAGAATACTAGATGAAGGACAGCCATGCGACGGCCACGCCGCCCGCCCCCTTTGGTGCTTGCTCCACCCACCAGTAGCAGCCCTCTTTTGATTGACGGACTTACCTCTTTTCTCCTGGTCTCCAGGACTTCTTGGAACCGAGTTATGAATTTTTGTCGCAAACTCCGCCCACTTTGATCATGCCCCGCCCACCGCCGACAGTTGACCTCCACTCCTCCACCCATCTCTATCCACCTTTTTCTGGCTCCCTAAGACTTCTGCCCGAATTATGAGGAACTTGTAGAAAATGCCGTACACTTCAGAGCGCGCTCCGCCCATTGTGGGCGGGCCTCCACTCTCGTCATGTATGCCGGGATTACCTTAGACATTGCTTCCCTGCACCAATTTTTTTCTGCTCTGTAGGCCTTCTCCCAACAAAGTTATCAATTTTTTTGTAACACCTGTATCACCTGTCGTCCCGTTGATCGTCGATTTGCTCGAGCGGGCGCCAGCAACGTCTCCATTCGTCCCTGTAGAGTGGTCCAGTGGATCCTCCTTGCTCGAGGGACACGAAGTCCATCATTCCTTTCGTTCAGAGCTTTCGTGAAGAAGTCTGACCATCGGGCCGGCGGTCGTCCAGGTGTTCGTTTGACGTCCCGAGGGATCCAGTCGGTAACCGCTCTGGTCCAACGGTCATCGCAAAATCGCATGACGTGTCCGGCCCACCTTATCTTCGATTCCTTGGCGAAAACGGCAGCGTCCCTGATCTTCGATCGTTGGCGTAGTTCGGCACTCCGGATTCCCCTCTGCACTTGCGTGTATAGGGTTACTCCTAGCATCGTCCTCTCGACAGCGCGTTGGATAACGCTGACCGCATGCTCGTCCTGCCTGCGCAGAGTCCAAGTCTCTGAGGCGTAGGTTAGGGCAGGAAGGACAGCGGAATCGAAGAGGTGGGCACGGAGCCGGATGTTCTTCGTCTTCTTCACTACTCCCTCGATGTTCTTGAACGCTCCCCATGCCGCTCGTTTCCTCCTGCTCAGCTCTGGAGCTAGGTCGTTCATCATATTGATTTCCCGACCTAGGTACACGTAGCTGGAGCATTCGGTGATGTCGTTCCGTTGAGCGTGAATGGGGCATCAGGAACCAATCCGTTTCTCATAAACATCGTCTTCGTTAGGTTCAGCTGTAGACCAACCTTACCACAGGCGCAGTCGAAATCAGCCAGCATTCGCTCCGCTTGCTCGATGTTATAAGAACGATGTCGTCAGCAAAACGAAGGTGGTGTAGTTGCCGGCCGTCGACCTTCACTCCCATGTCTTCCCATTCCAGTTGACGCATGACGTTCTCGAGAGCGGCGCTGAAGAGTTTGGGCGAGATGGTGTCGCCCTGTCGAACCCCTCTCTTGACGTCGATGATGACCTCCTTGTAGAATGGTGAGATTCTGGTCGTAAAGTTGCTGTAGAGCTCACGAAGAATCTTGATGTACTGAGTAGGGACGCCCTGGTTGCCCAAGGCTTCGATGACCGCTTCTGTCTCCACAGAGTCGAAGGCCTTCTTCAAGTCGATGAACGTGAGACAAAGCGGCATCTTGTACTCTCGTGAAACTTCAATGAGTCTTGTAAAAACTTCAATGAGTCTTGTAACCGTGTGGATATGGTCGATCGTGCTGAACCCTCTTCGAAACCCTGCTTGCTCGCATGGCTGTCCTTCATCTAGTATTCTGCCGATCCTGTTAAGGATGACTCGAGTGAATAGCTTGTAGATTACAGACAGCAGGCAGATTGGGCTGGCGGTGCGTTCTTCAGATGTTCCGGTTTAACCCTGTCGAGACCGGGTGCTGTACGATTCTTCACCGACTTGATGGCGTGTCGGACTTCGGAAGAGAGAACTGAGGGGACGACGTATCCATCCTGTTGCAGGATAAGTAGGCAGATGGACATGGCTATCGAAGAGATCCGAGTAGAAGTCGTGGATGACTTTCTCCATTGCCCTTCGGGATGCAGTAACTGTTCCATCCGGACGTCGGAGGCAGGTCATCTTGGTCTTGTAGCTGGCAAAGCTTCGGCGGGCATTGCGGATGCTCCTCCCAGCCTCTGCTGCTTCAGCTAATACTGCTGCTCTTCGCTCCTTGAGATCTTCCTTTATCGCCTCTCTGCATAGCTTCGCAAGCTCGGACGTGAGTCGGTGATTGCCTGCAGCTCGTGCGGCTCCACGCTGGCGTATCAGTTCGAGAGTTTCCGGAGACAGACGTCCCTTGGTGACTTTCAAACTCTCTGCCTTCCTGCCACAATCGTGAAGATGTTCAACGAGCCGATAGTACTCCTCGTCGATGTTTTCGATGACGGAATCCTCCCATAAGCTGACGAGGGAAGCGAAGTGGTCCCAGTTGATGACTGTCCTGGGGCTTCGCTTCCTGAACTTTGCTGCTCTCTCAACACGCATCGAGAAGTGGAATCTTGCGCGGAGGAGACGATGGTCCGATCCCGTGTAGAACTTTGGAACAACAGCGACGTCGGTCAGGCAAAACCTTCGATTGAAGATGATGTGGTCTATCTCGTTATGGAACTGTCTATCAGGCGATTTGGTCCCGGTGCCTTGCCCTTCTTCATCTGGCCAAGAGCAGCTAGCACTTCTGCTCGTAGGATCGGTGGAATACCTTCGTCTGATCCGTCACATCGTTTCTCGGTAGGCTCCACCTTTACCTGACTGCCAAAGAGGTTGCTGTAAAAGTTGCAAATTAGCTCGGCCAGTTCCTCTTGGCTGTACGTTACGGTGCAATAATAGGATGCTTGCTCCCCCTCAAGTCGCCGAAAACGGCATGGAAGTGGAAATATGGACATGAAAATGCGTTTGAAAAGGTCAAGCAAATGATATCGACATCCCCGGTGCTTATGCAGCCCAATATACAGAAGGCCAGAGACAGGGTCCCGACCTTTCGTAATATGTACGGACGCTTCAACCGTTGGACTGTTCTTCACCCAGAAAGGAGACGATAGGCAGCTCCATCCGGTGTACTTCGCGTCCAAAGGGCTCAGTAAGGCCGAACGCAGATATCACGTTACCGACTTGGAAGCCTTAGCGGTGGTGTTCGCCGTCAGGCGTTTCCACATGTTCATCTATGGGCTGCCGACAGTAATACTGACCGATCACCAACCGCTGACGGCCCTTTTCAATAGAACTAAAGTGTTGGCTAGAGTACTACGGTGGTATTTAGAGATTCAGCAACTTCGAGATAAGATACGTGAAAGGAAAGACCAATGTGACGCAGACGCATTGGGTCGGGGTGCGGCTCTATGGGACACGACGGAACTCATGCAAGGACTCAAAGACGCTGTAGTAAGTTCGCTTGAAGGCTCAGGAAAAATCTAAACGGATGGAAGATTTAGAAAGGGATGAAGACTTTGTTCATATCCTCGTTGCGATGAGGAGCGGTTGCAAAGAGGGACATGGTCGTACATAAAAACCCAGTTAGCGTTGCCGATTTTGTCGTAGAAAATAGAGAGCTAAAGATGTGTCAAAGCCATGGAAGCCTAGTATTTGTCGTTCCTAAAAGTGCGATGCGAAGGTTTTCATGAGGCACCCGCAGAGACGTTTGCGGGACACTTCAGCGCCCACAAATTGTTGAACTGGCTAAGGATGCAAGTGGTTTGGCTTACTGTGGCGCGGGACATACACAGAGTGGACCAGGGAATGTCAGCGCTGTTTCATACATAACGCGCGACCGAAGGATGACACCACCGCTGAAACCAATAAGGACGACAAAACCTTACGAAATTATTGGTGTAGACGTATTAGAACTTGGTATTACGTCCAGTGGCAACCGTTACGCCGTTACGGTGATAGATCACTTTTCCAAGTTTGCGGCGGCGTATCCTGTTGCCGGACAAATCAGCGGAAACGGTCGCAAAACTCTTTTTGTGAGATGGATCGCCGAGGGGTGCCGCTGGCCTGAAGCATTTTTATCGGATAAAGGTGGAGAATTTGAGAACAAGGTGATGGAAGAATTGACTAGGATTACTAAAATTGAGCATATCACGACCAAAGGCTATAATCCTAGAAAAAAGGTGTAACTGAGCGTTTAAATGGTACTATTGTGGTAGTGTTGAGGTGGTACCTGTGGATGGGATGTGAGGCTACCACCACACCACACCTAGCAATGGGAGAGAATCCTTATTTTATTCTACACGGCATGAACCCGAACTATCCATCAGCGGTGGTACCAAATGGTGGTATCTCGTGGTATACGATGATCCGGAGTAGACAGGACTATGAAGCCCAGTGGGTTCAATTCGACATGCTCACAGTCGTACCGCCATATATCCCTGATGACCAAGTAAATAAAGTCACAACCAGGGGTAAATGAGGAAGGAAACCAGGTGCTAAAGTTGGGTACGTACCACGGCGTTTTCGCTGGCCGGGGCGTGTGCCCGGAGCCTTTTTTTATATCGACGCGGCGTGGCTCACGGCGTGCAGCACGCGGCCACGCAGGGCGGTTTTTTGCAGCGACGTGCGAAGTATGTACCGTTTGAATATTCTTTTGCTTTCTAAGTCTATTTTGCTTGAAAAAGGTTCCTCTCTTATATGAATTGGTTCAGTAAGACAGCAATGGCTGAACTGAATCGACCATTTGACGAACTACTAATCGAAAGTGATGGTGACGAATTTGATGAAGGAGAGGATGCCCTGGACGACATGGTTGTCAATGCAGTGGAATCAAACGACGAGTCAGATTGGAATTCCAGTGATGAAATGGTCGGATACAAGCGACGAAGAAACCCAATGATTCTTAAACATTCAGAAGGCGAGAACAATTCCGTTTTCA